GCAGGGAGCCCGATGCGGGACTCGATCCTGGGACTCCAGGATCATGACCTGAGCCGAAGGCAGTCGCTTAACCAACTGAGCCACCCAGGCGCCCCAATAAGGATTATTATAAACAACTTTATGTCAATAAATATGACAACTTAGATAAAAAATCAGTTTCCTTGAATTACAAAAGTTATCAAAGCTCACTCAAGAAGAGATAAATATCTATATCTATATTCCTTATATCTATCTAGGAAAATGGGATAGTTCAAAACCTCCTCCAAAGAAACTCTAGGTTGAGATGACTTCATGAGTAAATTCTATCAAACATTTAAGGAAGAAATAATGCCAATTCAAACTCTTCCAAAAATAGCAAAGAGAAGAGAATAGTTCCCAACTCATTCTAGGAAGCCAGGATAAAGTAGTACATTTAAAATGAAACAAGACAAAGACATTACAAGAAAAGAACACTGTAAACCAAAATCCCTTATGAGCAAAAATTCCATACAAAATGTATAGCAAATTGAATTCAACCCTATATATATATTTTTTAACGCTATATTAAAGAGATAAAATATCAGGTGACCAAATGAAGTTTATCCCTGGAATGCAAGGTGGTTTAACATTTGAAAAATCAATCAATATACTTCAGCTTACAAATTAAAAATAAAAATCATGTTGCTTATCTAAATAAATGTCAAAAAAGCACTTAACAAAATCTAACATTCATTCCTGATAAATACTCTCAGTAAACTAAAATTAAAAGGGAATTTCCTCAACTTCATAAAGGACATCTAAAGGAACTAGAAAGAATGGCTGCTATTATTACTTTAATTCAACACTGTACTAGTGGGTCTAGCCAGTGCAATCAGGAAAGAAAAAAAAGGCACCATACTCAGCAGTAAGCATGCTGTTTTTTTATAAATATTATATGTGCTGCCTAAGCGAGCACTGGTTTTTTATAAATAGAACACTAGCCCCAGTTGTTACGTAATAGAATTCACATTCATTTGCAGAACCACAGACAATAGTAGACTTAGTAGCCCTTAACTGAAAAGTCCTGCAAAGATTCAGCTGGTTGTTTATAATTTAAATCAAACTGGCCAAGTAACCCAGACCTTTTGCTACTAATTCTGAAATTAGTGCTTCTTAGAATCTAAGAAAATAAATAGAACTAGGAGAAAATGTGAACCACCATTTGGTCTAGCTTCTGTTTCCCAGTCAATTAAGTGTAACCTAAGGCCTACAAGAGAAATGGAGGGTTAGAGATTCCTTTATGACAAGTTCCTTTTCTTGCATTTATTCTCTTCACAGTTAAGAAATTGTTTCTCATGTCCAACTAAAAAAAATTTTTTTTTATTTAATCTAATTTCCTTTTGTTCTGTTCTTATCAGTCACTTTGATGGGTCTGACATATTAAAGCAAAAGCTCTATGGCATAGAAAAAGGCTAACATTCTTAATGTACTAAAAACTCTTGCACATCAGTATGCATAAAAGACAAACATTTTGTTTATTTTTCTAACAACATGGCAGACTGTGTTAATACAGCTCCTATCTCACCTCAGCGGGCCTTCTTTCTGAAAAACACATTGAAATGCTGTGTCTGCTATATTATCTTCTGTACTTTTTTTTTTTTAAGATTTTATTTATTTATTTGACAGAGGGAGACACAGCGAGAGAGGGAACACAAGCAGGGGGAGTGGAGAGGGAGAAGCAGGCCTCCCGCCGAGCAGGGAGCCTGGTGCAAGGCTTGATTCCAGGACCCTGGGATCATGACC